CATCTCAATGTAAAGAAGGTCCCGAGGATTCTTCCTCAGTGACATGTATGCTCAGAGAAAAGAGAAGTGGCATATGTGAACTGGGATTTCTTGTTTTTCTTGTTTCATCTTGCCAGCGAGCAAGGGGAGACGCAGGGTCTTTCTCCTCAAATGCAGCCTACGCCATATTTTGCAATTAATCACGGGCTGCCTGCTTGAAATTGCAGGAAGTGCTGTTCCGTCCGTTGATTGTCAGTTGTTGCATTCTACAACTTGCACCTATTGACATGACTGCAGGAAGAGCATCTTGTACCATCAGCTTGCAACTAGTTGAGCTAGTTTGATCCTTCCTCCTCGAATGTGTGCAGGAGCTTGGAGCTTCGGTGAGAAGCAGCCTGTGGTTGATGTGTCCAACACTCAGATGGGACGTATTGATGCATTTTGCAGGTTCAATGTTGAGACTGGAGCTAATTCTGCTTTGGGATGATGGAAGAACAACGGCTGGTCGCCAAACTTTCCCTTCAAAAGCAAGGGTTGGAAAGTACACGGAAGTGTCCTTTTGCCTGCTCATTCTCCGATTTACAGCATACACCGATTGACATGCTTCTTTTCAAAGTGATTGCGCGGAGTGCAGTGGAGGTAGGATCGAAGCAGTACCACCTTTTCCAGCGTTGCAAAACACAATCTCTTGTGCCAAAATATGTTGATTGCCTCTAGAACTGTGCAAAGTATGCTGACCGCCTTCCATGCGCAGCTAGGCTGCAGCAACTGCCTACGGAATTGTGGCTGCTCAAGGTCGAGGCAAGTGCTGAGCATTGCAAATGTCACCATGTGGAACTATGAGAAAGTAGACACGTGCATGGGTCTCGAATGTAGATAGCAACTTTGGCTCAAAGATCTCCTGGATCAAGATCCTTTCATCGCTTCCTGCATTTCCTAACATGAGGTTCTCATCTCTTGTGCTTGTCCTGGCACTCACGTGCATGCAAGCCCAGAGCCAGGATCCAGTGAAGCAACTTCGTGGAGCAAAGGAACCCGACCTGCCGGCCGACTCTAAGCAGGAGACAGCTGCGGAAAGCCCAGCCAATGATCCAGCAGAGAAGCCAGCGAACCCAGACGACACTGGAGTTGCAAAGGAGGTTGAGACCGAAACCCCGGAGAGTCAGGCTCCAGAGCAGGGCGAGACAGATCCTGCTGAAGCCGACGTTGGAGTTCCGACAAAGGAGATTCCAGCAAAGCCAAGTGGGAAGGATCATGCCGATCCGCATGGCACTCGAGTTCCAGCAAAGGAAGACGCGGAGGAGCCACTGGATGGTGAATGGGAGGTTGATTCCATGAGGGAAGGCCCAGAGCCAATGGAATGGGAGTGGGTTCCTTATGGCTACGTCATGGAAGGCCCTCCTGAGTCCTGGGAAGGTGAGGAGGGTGATTGGGATGATGATGAGATGGAGCCACAGGAGATGGCCACATCAGGTCGAGATGCGAGATCCTTTGTTGCCTGGGGCGGCCGTCGCTGGGGCCACCGCGGCTGGGGCGGCCGTCGCTGGGGCCGTGGTTGGGGCCGTGGCTGGGGCGGCCGTGGCTGGGGCCGTGGCTGGGGCGGCCGTCGCTGGGGTCGTGGCTGGGGCCACCGTGGCTGGCGATGATTCGCTGATGAGTGGCGAGTGACAGTTGCGAACACAGCCACAAGAGCCATTAGGTGTTGCTGATGCAACTTTTGATGCACCTCGGTGCGAATTTGATACTTTTGGTTTCCCTGGTACTGTAGGCAGCGCGAGTGCTTTCACAGCTCAAGCCTTGCACGTGCCTGCGTTTATTGGCATCTCAATGTAAAGAAGGTCCCGAGGATTCTTCCTCAGTGACATGT